GGTTAGCGATCGTCAAAACCGGGGTAACTTGTGTTGGCGCAGCGATTATTAGGTCACGTTTTTCCGTCCTCACAATAAGTAAAAATAAGGACAGTAATTGTGAGGTGGTTTTCCCATTATTGTATGTATCAATATAGAATCTATGTATTATAATTTATAAAACATACAATTTATTTATGTTAGAAGTTATAATGACCAAATTATTAAATGACGCGGGCCATTTTAGGCCATTTAAAGCCATTCGATCATAGTCATTTATTTAATTTTAAAATAATATAAATCTATAAAATTTTAGTCATTTGATTTACGTCATTTCAAAAATCAAATGACCTGGCCATTTGCGAACACTGGACAAAGGTCTTTGATGGACACAAATTTGATATTGTCTTGCTATCAAGATTTGCAAAAGAAGTTTTTCCTGAACTCCTAAATGTCATGTCGAATTGGCAAAGAAATGTATGAGTTTAAAGCTACAAAACGGCCAAATGCTGGAATACTAATATCGGAATTTTACCTGGCTGGATTGGAAAGATAACTTCAGATGATGAAAATGAAATCAAAAAACAGTTCTTAAATGCTGATAAAATAATTGAACACATTGCCAATAATTATCCTGACCATATATACCTAGCAAAATTATTAGCACATATATCAAATGTCATTAAAGGTATTGTTTAACAAATTATTTAACCATAAACTTTATGTTGTAAATAATTAAAATATATTTATAATTTATAAATAAGAACCGTCTTCAATAATTAAATCTATTGAATCTGCTGATATTCCTACTGGTAAGTACTTGCGATGTTAAACTTATTTATAAATATACAAATTTATTACTTATTTATTTTAATGTTTAGATTTCGGGCAATTGATATAAATACTACAAATTAGACTATTTACTCATTAACATAACTGTGCATCATATATACAACTCCTTTGTAATATACTTTATCCTTGTTTATTATCAAAAATCTGTTGAGATGGATGATTCTGATAGAATGTTTTAGGAAATGGGGCTGAATGAGATGAACATAAAGCATTCATCTATTTTTATAAATATGTTGAGATGTGGTACAAATACTCTTGGTTATTGTTACAGTACCTAAAAGGAATAGGGATAGATAAAGACGACAAAAAGCATTATAATTTCAGAAATCTGCTGAGATGGGGAATGTTGATGCAATGTTTTAGTTGGCGAATATTATCAAAATGGTGCTGGAGTTGAAAAGGACGAACATAAAGCACTACTTTTTTAAAAAAATCTGCCGAGATGGAAAATGTTATCAATGTTTAATTTTGTCTAATAATTCCCTAGCCTTATTTTCATCTATAGAAGTTCCTATGCCACATGTATAACAATAAGCAAGATTTCTTTTTCCTAAATCGCATCCTCCTTCGGCAGATTTTTTATAGTATTCAAAAGCTTTTTTTTCATCTATAGAAGTTCCTATGCCATATATGTAGCAATTACCAAGATTGTTTTGTCCTAGACTATTTCCCACCTCTGCAGATTTCGCATACCATTCAAAAGCTATTTTTTTATTTGTAGAAGTTCCTATACCATATAGATAACAATCAGCAAGATTATTTTGACCTAAACCATCACCTTTTTTAGCTGATTTAGTATACCATTCAAAAGCCATATTTTTATTCACGGGAGTTCCTATGCCGTATTTGTAACAACTGCCAAGACAGTTTTGTACTGAACTATCTCCACCTTCTGCAGAGCTTATATACCAATCAAAAATTTTTTCTTGACATGCCAAAAGTTCTTTATCATTTTTATAATAATTGACAAGACAATTGAATCCCCAACAATTTCCATTTTCAGCAGACTTCACATACCAAGTGTAAGCCATCTTTTCATCTTTTTTGACACCATCACCATAATAATAGCAATTTCCAACAAAGTATTGTGCATTCGCATTTCCATTTTTAGCTGATTTCAAATACCAATCAAAAGCCTTTGTCCTATCTTTATGAATTCCATCACCAATATAATAGCAATTTCCGACAAGTTCTTGTGCATTTGGATTTCCATTTTCAGCTGCTTTTAAATACCAATTTAAAGCATTTATTTTATCTTTATGAACACCAATACCATTATTATAGTAATTTCCAACAAGGCATTGTGCATTCGTATTTCCATTTTTAGCTGACCTCAAATACCATTTGAAAGCCTTAATTTTATCTTTATTAATGCCATCGCCATTATAATAGCAATTTCCAACAAGGTATTGTGCATTTGCATTTCCATTTTTAGCTACTTTTAAATACCAATCAAAAGCCTTTGTTCTATCTTTATGAATTCCATAACCATTATAATAGCAATTTCCAACAATGAATTGTGCGGTTGTATTTCCATTTTTAGCTGATTTCAAATACCAATCGAAAGCCTTTATAATATCCTTATCAATATTATCACCATTATAATAACAATTTCCAATAAATAATTGTGCATCAGAATTCCCATTTAAAGCGGATCTCAAATACCATTTGAAAGCTTCTATTTTATCTTCATATACACCATCACCATTATAATAGCAATTCCCAACAAAGAATTGTGCATTTAAATTTCCTTTGTAAGCTGAATTCAAATACCATTTTAAAGCCCTTATTTTATCTTCACAAAGAACATCGCCATTATAATAGCAGCATCCAATAAGCAAAATTGCCCTTGCATTTCTTTCATTTGCAGATTTTATAAACCAATCAAATGAATTTATCCAATCTTTAACAACACCATGGCCATGAAAATAACATTCTCCAACAAGGCACTTTCCTAAATTAGAACCCATGGCTACCGATCTTAAAAATAATTGGAATGCTTTTTGCTGATTTATCTTAATTCCCTTTCCTTCCATATAAAGTGAGCCAAGAGATATTAATCCAATTATCCGGTTTTCTTTTAGTAAATCATTTGTCAAAAGAAAATTACCCGAAACATTTAACGTATTATTATTTGTAAAATAAATATCATCTGCTGCTTGTTTATATATTTTAAACGCCTTATAGTAATCAACTGTTATTCCAATTCCATACTCATAAAAAAATAGCTTTTGAATGGTATGCGAAATCTGCAGAGGGGGGAAAGAGTCTAGGACAGAACAATCTTGGTAGTTGCTACATATATGGCATATGTTCATCGTTAATGTAGTCTTGTTTCTTTTGGTTATTCGAAGCAAGTAAAGAATCCGATAAATTTAAAATATTTTTCTTATTATTAAATGAATTATTTTCATTTAAAGCATTTTTAAGAATAATAATTATTGAAGAAATTAATTCTATCTCTTTTTTTGTTTCATTATATGAATATTTTATTAAATCCACTTCGTCCAAACCTTCTGTTTCTTTTGCTATTGATTTATCATGTTTAGAAAGCATTTCTTCATAATCAATTATATTATAACAGTCAACATTATTTAAATCTTCAAAAATTCGTTGAATAGTTGGACGCTGATTTGAATTATGTTTCCAACACTCTGAAATGCAATATATATATAGTTATAGTATATACATAGGTATAATAACATAATATTAAAATTAAAAAATATTATTGGTTTACCTGTATAAATTTTCATATATTTTTTGGGAGTTCCAGGAACTGCCATTTCACGTTTACCACGAATAATGGAATTTAACAAATTAAAATTAAATGACAAGTTAGTCTTAAATGGAATGATTCCGCTTGAAATTTCCCATAAAAGAACTCCAATGCTATATATATCTGAACTTTTGTTAAGTTTGTAAGTTTCTAGATTTTGTAAATATTGAGGATCCATATATTGTACATATTTAAATTTATTTAAAGATGAAAATTTGTTCTGGTATTGAAAAACACCAATTTTAATATTTCCTCTATGAATAAATATTTTTTCAGAATTCTAAATTGTTAAAAAAGAAAAATACAAGTTTTAACATCATTATTAGCTGTCGATACTGTAAATAAAATATAATGTTTTAAAAAAAACGTACCAAGTTCATGTGTGCTATATCATTTTCATGTAAGCATTTTACAGCGCTAACAATCTGTTTTGCAATATTTAACTTTTCATTCCAATTGAACTTGCTGGAATTTTGCTTTAAATATTGACGAAGAGTACCATCACAAGCATATTCATGAATGAAGATAAATTCATTTGCTTTTTTCTCGATAATTGCTATGAATTTTAAAATATTTTGATGCAGTTCTACTTCGTGATATTGCTTTAACTATATGTAATAGAATATAACCGTTATTAAAATATACTAAAAAATAATAATGAATAATATTAAGATATTAAACTTACTTCATTGATAAAATCTTCAAGTCTATATTGTTGAGAAAAAGTAAACTTATTTAAAACTACAAATTTATTACATTTTATTAAATAAAGTTTACAGCTATTGGCGGATAGCAATGCGCCATTAATTTTACATTTCTCAAAAGAATTACGTGAAGGAAATCTGACGTGATTTTTTTCAAAAAAGTTATTATCTATCCATTTATCCAATTCTTGTGATTGAACCATGTTTAAGATATTCTAATTTATATTTAAAAGTTCAAAATTCATATAAATAATGAGACACATACGCACGTATTTATATATCATCTATTTGTATTATTGCACAGTGTCGTACGTCGAAGCAAAAATAAATTCTACAACAAGATGCATTCTTATTGTTTCATAATTCCTTCTAGAAGGATTAGTTAAATATTAAATTTAATTTAATTTAATTAAAAACAAACAATAGCTAAATTATATAGCTACACGAATTGATTTTGAGACATTAATTAATATGATCTGTAGGGTAGCGTAATTATATTGGAAGATTATTTGGTGATTAATATATTTTTCCTTTGAATTAACGTGAATTCTGATACAAAATATAGGATTTACTAATTTTCGTCTCTAGTTCCTAATGACACTTAAAATCCTGTCGCTGATTGGGCGAAATTGATTACATATATATGGCAAAAAAATATATTAAATTTATAAAACATATTATTAGTCCCGACAATAAGGCAAAATAAGCCAATCAATAAACGGACGCATGACAAATCAGAACTATTTATGGTAATGATCAAATATTATCGGTTATAGTAAATACTGACATAGCCATTTACTAAAAATTTTGTAAAATTGATCACTGAATATAATTAAGAACACATAATTTTTCTTTAATATGGAACCCTAATTCCTCTAATTTCCCCTATCACACCTGATTGGATACGTATATGAAATGTTATTTTTGATTGGACAAAATAGATTACAACATAAAAAATGATGGTGTTTTTTGGGGGGAAATCGTAGGTAAAATGTTGATTTTGCTTATAACCCACCTTTCGTATCTTAATAAAATATTTCTTGTAAAATTTTAGT